CACCACTACTGTAAACTTAGCTCTGATGCTAATTAGCGACACTCAGCCTTTAGGGAATAAAACAAATAAACTGTTATATTTCAGTGCTCTGATTTTTTTATTGTTATTCTATTTTTGATCAAAACATTTAATTTAAGTCACTTTACTTGTTTCTGAACATTTGATTGTCATTATTATATTATTCTAAACTAAATACTGAAGAATCTCTTTGCTGAGCAGACCTGAAGGTTTTTATAGACCAGCTGTAGAGTGAAACCCAGAAACCTTGAACTCATCAGCAGTTTATCCTTCATGCTGAACTCTGACCTCTGACCGACAGCCAGCTGGGCGGAGAGTCTCCGCCTCCCGCCCTGCAGCGGTAGGAACCTTCATCGGCCGTGGAAACGGAGTGCAGGGTGAAGGATCCTGATCCCGACCCGATCAAGGAATCGTTTTTAAAGAAATCAGCCGAGGCAGCAGCCGAGCTCTTGGTCCAGCAGGTCAGAGTGACGCTTCGTCCAGACGTCACAGGAAGGGCCGGACTCAGCAGGACCACCGGACCGTCTGCAGACACAGAATCTGGGTTTGGTTCTGGTGGAGGGGAACATCAGCCTGCAGGGTCTGTCTGCTTTACTAAAGATTTACAAACATTATTCAGGTTCCCACATATTAAAATGAAATGTTTAGACAGTTTGACAGTAAAAATGATGCAGACGGTGATGAGGGAACAGTGAACCAAGGTTTAGGGAACAGACCAGTGATCTAACAACACTCAAACACCAAATATACATTAATATGCATCAAAATGCACAACAGAAACCATCACAGCGTCACTACAGAAGCTAACGTCAGCAGCCGCCCCCTGTGGGTTCAGCCAATCAGCTCCAAGGTGAATAAATGCTGCTGCTGGATTGGCTGCGCTAGCAATTAGCACAAAGTAGCATTTACCTGAGAACAGAATAAAGTCCATGAACAGGTGAGTTCACTGCTAGTTTGGAAAAGTTAAAGCACAGCTAACCCCATGTGAAAGTGGAGCCCCGCCCCCAGATGAAATTAGAAAAAACTAAAGTGGGCGGAGCCAGGAGGCTGAGGGGCGTGGCTACGTGTGGGATGGGAGTCAAGGTGGTGGGGGAGGGTCAGGAAGAGGGGGGCAGTGGAGCCACTTTTCAGACTCTAGAGACTTTATGGTGACAACGCCCTGCAGCTCCTCCCTCCACCCTGCAGCTCCTCCCTGCAGCTCCTCCCTCCTCCCTGCACCTCCTCCCTCCTCCCTGCAGCTCCTCAGTGCAGCTCTTCCCTCCTCCCTGCAGCTCCTCCCTGCATCTCCTCCCTGCAGCTCCTCCCTCCTCCCTGCAGCTCCTCCCTCCTCCCTGCAGTCAGAGCTGGCCCGTTCCTCTCCTGATGAACCATGCCACCTCCTGACTCACCACCAGGGGGCGTGTTGGAGTGAAACTGGTCTTGGACCTGAACTGGTACCGGTGACA